GACAAATTTCTATTCTACTGCCAGTCGACACTCGCAATAGGGGCCTATAAATTGCATTTGTAACTAGGGGGAATTTTTTTCTTCAATACAAATATTTAAAAAAAAGCTGCATTCAAACTTTTTCAAATAAAATCACAAAAAAAATCACAACGGTCGTCAAGGGTTATTGTTTATTTTTTGCAAAAATGTGGGAAATCGAATTTTAATCAATAAAAAAATTATGTTTTGTTAAATAATCTACTTGTTTGGCCATAATTAATTTTGGCCACGAAAATGGGCAAAATTATCCACAGTGCATTGGTCGATGAATAACTAAGTGAGAGGAGGGACCAGTATGTTTGCATGTATGTATGTATTTTAGGGCTGTGCGATTATTCGATTACTCGAGCAAGTTGGTTAATCAATTATTCGGTTAATCAATTACTCGAGTAATCAAGATTTTGATTACTCAAAACGATGATTAATCGAGTTACTTGAAATATGATTACTCAAAAAAAATAATTTTGCTCGTTAACAGAGTTTGCTTTGGAAAATGCTTATTTTCTTTTTTACATTCTGTATATGAAAAAAATTGTTTGGTTTCATTTTTGAAAACAGAAACGTTGTTTTCAAAGTATCAAGGAACTTTAACTACTTTATACATATGTAAAGAGTTGAAATGTTGATTACTCATTTTACTCGAAATGTTGATTAGTCATAAAGCAAATTACTCAAATATTTTTGTTTTTGGTTAATCAAAAATCTTGATTACTCGAGTAACTGAACTTTTGAGTAATCATAATTTCCAATTAATCGAATAATTGAGTTATTTACTTTATGATTAATTAAAATTTTGAGTAATCAATTAATCGCACAGCCCTAATGTATTTATATAAAAAAAAAATATTTATTGGTTCAAAAAAGGTGGGTAGGCACTGTGGCCAATGGTAAAGTTCGTTCGTAAATGCTCCGAAAGCAGGGTCCGGAGGATGCATCAGACTAAGCCGAGCATACTTTGAAGTGCCATCTAATTAAAACTTAAGAAATTTCAATTACATGGCAGTTGAGAAGTGCATGTGGAAAAATTTTATAAATTGCATAACGGAAATTTTTGCATATGCACGCATTTAGGCGCCTGGTGTTAGCAGAGGTGCCTAAACAGTCGATTTGATATGAGTTTACCCATGTAAATACCTCAAGGTGCCTCGCCAAAAAAAATTTGGTTTTCCACCGGAATTATAAAATGCATTATATTTTAAAATACGTTGTTTTATGAACTTATCTTCTTACTCATCTCACTTCCTCCCTCTCTGCTTCTCTACCCTTGTCTCTTCAGTTACTGCATGATTTTTGATTTATGGATGTATGAGGATGGCATACGTCCGGGACACATTATAGTGATCGATTTGAAGGGCGTCACTTTGGGTCATGTAGCACGCATTGGCATATTTCAGATGAAGAAGTTCCTCTTCTATTTGCAAGTGAGTATTTTTACTTTGAATATTTCATATCTAAAAACTTGTTGGAGTTCAATATTATTGTATTACATTGTATTGCTTACATGTACGTTAGGGTGGTCCTTAAAGTACTGAACATCATGGGGCACCCCATTATTTTGTTCTTAAAATTGCGAAAATTCGACAAAATATTGACTTTAACCAGCTATAACTCAGCAAGTTTATTACTTTATAAATAAGTTTCAATATTGTGCCGAGGTTCTCAGATTTTAGGACAAAGTTTGGTCGAATTTTTGCGATTTAAAAAAAAATTACATTTTGAAATTTTCGTCGGTGGCCTTATATTGTACGTAGAACAAAACAAAGGGGTGCTCCTTAGATGTTGATCCACCTTAATGCACATACTTAAATGTTTAAAAAAAATTTGCTCATTTTGCTAAGTTCAAAAAAAGTTTGTTTTATCATTCAACTAAGTACAGTTGTTATTCTAGAACCTATGTTTATAATTCATGTACGGTATTCTGTTTTTTCACAGGAGGCAGCTGCTATCCGTCTAATAGGATTTCATTTTATCAACATTGTACCATTTATGGATAAAATTTTAGGTCTAATGACACCCTTCATGAAAAAGGAACTAACCAGTATACTGTATGTGCATAGTAATTTGGAAGATTTCTTCAAGCATGTGCCGCAAAGTATATTGCCCAAGGACTATGGCGGCCAAGAGCCGGAATGTATAGAAATGAGAGGTGAGAAAATACTCATATTTCATAATTTAACTTTAATGCTGGATTCATTTGGAAAGTTTTAATGGCAAAGTTGGGTGTTAATACACTGGCGATCAAAACTGGGAGCATGGAACGTTCTCAGGACAGCCGGGTCTACGTAAACGGAACGGCACAGATTTATATCTGGCCAAGGACTGTCAATCTAGCAACACTCTCCAAAAAATCTTTGGGGAATTTCTATGCTGTTACAACTACTGAGTGCGTGGTAATTTTTTTAATACTTATAATAGGGGAGCTCACGTGGAGTAGCATTTTAGGTGTAAAGTGGCTACATAGCAGGTTCACGCCTAATGTTTTTAAGGTTAATTTTTTATAAAAACATTATATAAAATTTAGAGATATTCAACAAATTTCCATCAAAATTTTGAACTTTTTAATCTGAATTTTTAGAAAATCAAAAAGTTCGAAATTTTGATGAAGCTTTTGAATTTTTCTACAATTAAAAAAAAAATTTATTGAAAACCAAAAGATCACCATGCACTCAGTTTTGACCGCCAGTGTGTATGCCAATGTCATTATGTTATAAAGATTAGTCAGACATTTTTTGTCATTTCAGTGCCTGGTGGAAATCGACATAAAACTTTTTTTATGTTTTTCGATATTTTGATTTTTTAGAAAAATATGTACTTTGGGCCGTTTTCTCAAGTATGTTTCAAAATTTATCGGCCCTTCAATGACATTTTTTAAGAACAAAATTTGTGTTTAAAGGGCAAAAAATTTTTAAAACCTACTTGTGAAAGCAGCCCTAAAACTGTAAATGGCGTGGTGACACGCTCGATGATTGTTTATATTTTTTCAGAAACCTTTCACCGCAAACTCAAAGATAGTCGT